GTTAGTCTGAGGACGGCTCACACTGATTGCTGCTTCAGACGGCTGCTTGTCAGTTCATGTTGTTCTAAGATAAAAAGACAATCAGACGACCCAAAGGATACAAATCAAGCTTTTATACCTGGTTTCTGTCGGCCTGGAGTCAAATTAAACAGAAAAGCTTCCATCTGCAGCTACAAAGCACTACAATTTAATCTTTTTACATGTTTTTTTTTTTTTGTTCCAAAACATATAACTTTTCTTCCTCTTTCTAAAACTCTTTTATTTTTTCTCTGAGGGAAGTTAAAACGGATGCAGTCAGCATTATACACCATTAGACGCTTGGTTGGTTCCTGGCACCACTGGATATTCTGGAAATTCACTTACTAAAGAAAAACACAAAAATGAAAGAAATCATGTCGTTTAGGAGGTTCAGGACATTTTAATCAAATGTCAGAAGGAATCAGGGTTAAATGGAGTTTTGTCCGACTGCAGTTAATTCCTCCATGCTCTGCTGCGCTCTACCGGTCAGCTGGCTTAAAAAGGAGTTCCTACACTTATCCTTCACTAAGGGGGAAGATAAATTCATCCATCTGGAAAGACTCCAGCTCACATTTTGGTTTAAGTCTTTGTCTGAAAATTAAAAACAACAATAAACCAGTTCTAACTTGTAGGGTTCAAAAATTAATCGGATTAATCGATTATTGGAATAATTGTCAACTAATTTAGTAACCGATTAATCGTTAGCGGGAGTATAGAGGCTGTAAAACATGACTTTAGCTGACAGTACAAGCAATTACACCAAAACAGTGAAAAAAAATGTAAACATTTTGCATTTAAGATAAAAAAAAAGTGTACCCCGCCTCCACAGCTGGACACCAGCACCCCTTGCGACCCGGCTTGGGATAAACGTGACGAAAATGGATTGAAGGATAGAAAATGTTTTCATCTCTCAATATGCTCTACCCAGAACCCCTCAAGAGGAAAAGTTTTAGTTTCACCTCGTTTAATTTCATAAAAGATCTTCTTTAAGGAACGCTTGGCTATCCAACTATTCATCAAAAAAATAAACAACAGATTAATCGATTTGAAAATAATTGTCAGTTGCAGCCCTAATAACTTATATTACCCCAAGTTAAATATTTAAAATATTGTTTTAGAAGATTCAGGGAGCAGTGCAGCTTTAAAGTTTAAAGAAAACCAAAAAAAAACTATTGTGTTATGCATATTTACTTAAAATGTAGCTATAAATCAGATGCTGTAAAGCTACTATCTTTGTTCAGCAATAGAATAGGCACACCCTGTCAATAATTATTTTTATTGTTTAAAGAAAATGCTTTACTTCTATAAAATAGGAATTAAAGTTCTAGATATTAAAGGCATAAATAAATACGAACAGAACTTTAATATTTTCCCTCCATTCATGATGTCTGCAGTGTTTAGGTTTTCTAAAAGCTCCACTAAATGTAGTTTCCCTGTGAAGCTCTTTATGAATCCTTTCATAAATTTACAGGTTAAAATCAAATTCTCTAAATGCTTTTATTTTGGTGCAATTAATAACTTTAAACTAGAGCTAAATAAAAGGAGAAGAAGTGCAATATCTGTAAAGAACTGTTTGCAGAGCAACACTTGTTCATCAACATATTCAAAGAGTTGTGAACTTTTCATGTTTGGTGTTAAATGTCGAATTTAACCAGTGGGACGGAGTCTCAGGGCAGCAGATGCTGAAATCAGAGTGAAGAGGAGGAGAGATGAGGACAGAAGATGGAGAAAACAGGCAGATTTCACACCTTATACCACCGCTGCTACTGTTAGCATTAACAAGCTCGCAAGATACCCTAATACTGATCAGCCCAACTTTAACTGCAGGTTGAAATGACACAATTATGGCCAAATTATGCTTTTGATGCATAGCCTCTACAACCGTCAAATCAACCGCAAAGAGGTTCTGCAACCGTCGTTGTGCACCTCAAAAAAATCCTGATTACGCAACGGTAACAAACCACGCAGACCTCAAGCGGAAGCGCGCAGACAAAAAGCAGCTGTGATTGGTCCTTGGTATGCCTTTCCGGCTGACTGTGTGGTCGTCCTTCTCGATTTGATGCCTGGGCACGCCATTTTTTTAAAAACCGAGGAACAACTACAATGGACGACGACGATGAAAGGTTAATCTGTCTTTTTGCTAACTCCATTAACAGAACCTGTTCCTCTTCGATTTCTAGCAACTCTAGATCCATTTCTGTAACCGTGATATTTTGCAGACGCGCCATTGTTGTTTTGGAAGATAAAAACTCCCGCCGGCGCTGCAGAAGTTCTCGTGAGTTCTTGAATAGGCTCCCCCTTGTGCTTTGGCAGGAAACTGCTGTGCGTCTCTAGAAATTCCAGACCGACGGTGCAGAAGCATACCAGGAAAGCTGGTTTGCAACATTTGATGTGTGCGGTTGCAGAAGTATAATCTGTCCTTTAGGCTCAGACTAAATGATTCAGCGGCAAATACATGGTTAAGATTTAAAACCATAATATAAGAAGATCTTAATTGATACAGTCTGACTGCAGAGGAAGGTAGAGAACTGGAAAGGCGACAGTTTATTCTGTTAGTGAGCAAAATAATAAGAAAAATGACAATGAATGATGGCATCTGAGGTTTTCTAGATATTAAGAAATAAAAAATAACACGGAGCCTCCTGTAACCACCAGCAGAGTAATCATTTGGTTCTTAAAGCATGGAAATGGAAAGCTCCTCTGGCAGAACAGCAAAGCACAGCCCATTCAACAAATAAAGATTATTTTCATGCCAGAGCTGATTTAAAAAAAAGAACTCGACAGAATGGGGGGCTGCTAAAACTGTAAAAATCAGCGCAATCACTTGGCCATCCCAAAGGTTGGAGAAGGGATCCTGGATAACTTTTCGAAAACATATGAAGCATATAATCTATCGCTTTGTTTCCTTGGTAATGTAATGGCTCGTTACTAAACAAAACTGAAGAAAAAACTGAATCTCCAACCAAACAGCACCAGAATCTAACAGAAATCAGCGCAGCTAACAGATCAGATTATGCTCCTTTAGACGGGCCCAGGTTTGGATTCCATCATATCGAAGAAAAATTATTCATATATTAAGAACATTAAACATAAAAGCCCAAGTGAAGCTGTGCTTCCACATGTTTTATAACCCCATTTAACAGTCAGCCCATATTTGTTCTGAAAAGAAATGGAAAGTGGGTGAAGGAAAACAATCAGCTAGATTACATAAGAAAAAATTGTACACGCTTGCATTGAAAATTACATTTGGAATGAAATAATGCTTGAATCTGAATTCATCTACATGACTTTATTATTTGTCAATCTCCTCTAAAATGACATCTGGTGGGAATTAACCCAACAGTTAAACTATATGTCTTAATATTAGAGTTTTAAGCTTTTCTCTGGATTTTATTTTTATTTTTGTTGGAAATTTTTCATGTTGATAGTTTTTGCAGCATGTGGGGATCTAAGCAGGTGCCAAAGAAGGCCGCTGTTGAAATGATCCTGGCCGCTCTACTAAAGACAATATACTAAATAAATATCTAATTATTATTAGGGCTGAAACAATTAATCGGATTAATCTTGATTAATCAATTATTGAAATAATCGTCAACTGGAGTATAGAGACTGTAAAACCTGCCGGTAGCTGACAGGGCAACCCTCTTAGAGAAGTAATTACATAAAAATTGTAAAAATATATATATATAAACATTTGTATTTAAGATAAAAACACTTTCATCTATCAATATGCTCTATCTAGAATTCCTCAAGGGGAAAAGTTTTAGTTTCACCTGGTTTAATTACATAAAAAAAGTTCTTTAAGGAACCTTTGGCTATGTGATTTTTATTCGAAAAAATAAAAGACAAATTAATTGATTTGCTAAATAATCGTTAGTTGCAGCCCTAAATATGATGTCCCTTGGGACATTTTTTTGTTTTGTTTTATTTCAATAATAATATACATTTTAAATTGTTCCACTTTTAGCTTTTGTTATATTCACACAGACTCATTTTTTTATCTGTTAAAACTTTCCATGGATATAGGTGGCACTATGCCAGTGTTTTTCAATCCTGGTCCTCACGGCACCCTGCTCTGCATGTTTTAGATGTTTCTGAGCTTCAGCAAACCTGATTCAGATGATTATAAGGTGTGTGAAATCTGGGAAACATCTAAAACATACAGGGCAGTGTGCCTTGGGGACCAGGTTTGAAAAACACTGCTCTATGGAATAGAATATAGAATCACTTAATTGTCCCAAAATTGGTCAAATTCTGGTGTTTATAGCAGCAAAAAGATTATAGAAAAAAATGGTCACACAAATGTGGACCTTAGAAAAAGTACAAGAATAATATAATGTGAAGAGTTACAAGATAAACAATAAAATACTGCACTGTAAAGTGTTTTAACAATATAAAACTTTGCATCTGGAGAATAAATAACCAATATACAGCTATGGACATTTTTACAGTAATGGATATTTGAAAATGTGCAAAATGACAGCAGCATGTTATTTAACTGACTGAGGTAGAAACTGAGCAAAATCAGCATAAATATAACAATTTATTGAGGTTGTTGGGAACAGTGAGGGTTATAAAGTCTTATAGCTGCTCGGAGGATAAGGCTGTGATAAGGCTGCTTGGGTCACTTAACATTTAAACTATTGCACGGTTTTGTTTTGTTACTTTTGTACAGTCTGAATAAAAAAAAAAACAAAAAAAAAAAACACATACACCTCCTGATAAATTTGGTTTTGAAGCCTATGTGTTATGTACATGCTGGAGGTTTCTTCCTGTTCAAAGGGAGTTTTTCCTTCCTACTGTCGCTACGGGCATGCTTGGTGTGAGGGATTGCATTGGGGTCAATGAGTTGATGCAATCAACTGGTTTTCCTTAGATAGAAAACTTTGTCTGACTGGATGATGTGGTAAACTGTAAAGTGCCTTGAGATGACATGTGTTTTTGTCATCCATAATAAATGTGGAGGCCTCCTGTTCTCCTACCTTGGTGGGGCATGGTGATGGTCTCGTTGGGATTCGTGGAGCCCACATTAAAGATGACCACCGCCGTGGCGTTGTGGGCTGCAGCATTGCGGATCTTCTCCTTGCAGGTGCAGTTCCCCCGGGCTATCAGCGCTATCCAGCCCGCCGCGGCCTGCGGGGGGACCGCGAACCGGGTGTGGGGGTCACAGGCCTGCCGGTCCAGCGGGGAGGCCGGCAGCACCACCACCCCCTTGGCCTCCCGCTTGGAGGAGTGCTCCCCGTAGCGGCCGCATTCCGTCTTCTCGGTGCGCAGCTCGGAGGTGGACGGGTCCATGTAGGTGATGTTGACGAAGGCGGTGTACCACTCCTCCTTCTCCGCCACGGTGAAGTCCAGGCAGAGCAGGTGGACGAAGCAGAAGGAGAGCAGCCACGTAGAGAGGGCCAGACTGCGGCAGGCCGCCACCAGAGACCCCGGGGCCATGGCGACGCTCCCCGGAGAGAGAGGCAGAGAGAGGCCCGGAGGACGCAGAGAGCTTCAGCGCAGACGACGCCTACTCCACCATGTCACTAACCTGCGGATCAACCGTTTATTGAGTTTCTTGGTGCAAACCCCGAGTTCCCCCTCACCTCTCAGCCGCTCCCCTCTGCTGCTGTCAGCCAACCGTTAGCTGTCTCCATCTCCAGCCAAACAAACACGGTTTAAAGCCCAGCCAAAGCAAATTCCAACCCGAACACGAACTGAACCGAAGCCGCTGCGGGCGGATGGACTCGGAGCTCCGTGGGTTTTAAAAAAAACTGCTCTTTAAAGCTAAAGCTAGAAGCAGCTGCTTCGCTGCATTGTTGTGACTGGGCCACTGTTTACGATTAAGCTTCAGTGAATGAGGCAATGAACTTCCGGAAATGACTTTTAGAAATAAAATCCCAACTGAGTTTTACACAATGTATCAAATCACCCCAGCTAAATTCGAAACTCTAATTTTGTAGTAACTTTATCAGAAAATGTCTACATTTCACGAAACCTGTATCGTTTACACGCGTTTAACAGGAAAATACTAACATTTGTATTTTACTTTGAAAATCATAATAAATCTCTTTTGCATCAATGGACTTCATGCTGTTTTTCTATGGTTTAAATTAGTCAAATGTTGCCACCTAGCGGCAGAAAAGGGAAAACAACAGAAAGCGCACATTTTTTTTCACGCTTATACTTCTATACATTTAGTTTTCATAGACTTTATAAAGAAAAATACAGCACATAAATATGTATAATCTTATTATAGATATGCTTAACTTTACTGAATTTAGTTATAACAATGTCATAGATTTGTAATATATCAGAATAATTCATAGCAGTTTAGTAAAATATACATATGATTATAAAATAATCATATTTCAAAAAATTGAATTTCCTTTCTAATTGCTGTAGTGCATTTTATCACTATACAATATAAGGTAGATTATAAAAGAATTACATATTGTGAAAAAGTTCAATATTTCTTTTCATTCAAGAAGGTGAAACGTATTCGGTCACACTCTAGTGCTAAATTCATTACACAATGGTTACAGTGTTACCAAAAATGGATTTTTCAAACAGAAACATCAGGCCTCTGTGAATTTTGTTCATTCATATCCATTCATTGGGCTACTTTTTTGCCTGAGTGACTGCATCAAAGCATTGTAGCATAAATGTGATCATCCCACAACCTTAAAGTCATCAGCATTGTTGGATATTATGTCTCTCATCTTATATTTACATTCTGTATGTGGTTCTGGTCAGGCCGATTCGCCGGTTCCAACAACTCCACAAAGTTTCTTAGCAGAAGGAAACAATGCATTATAAGGTCCTCATAGATGGCTGCACTGAATGTGGATTTCAGAAAAATGCATTCGATTAAACCCTGCAGATTACATGGCACCCAATGTTTTCACTTAACAGAAAAATGTAACACTGAACAAGAACAAAAATTCTGCTCCCCAATTTTATCTATAGTCTGGGACCTTTATTGCCACATTAGCAAACTTCATTACAGGTCTATTTTTTCTATGTAGGCCATATTTCTGATTATTCTGCATATACTGGAGTATATGCAGAATAATCTGTATTCCTTAGTATTCCTCTCAAGCCTGATGGGCATTTTATGAACCCACCTTTGACCTATCAGTACCTTTGGGCAATCAGCATCTCTAGCAATGATCTTTTGCGCCCCCCCCCCCCCCTCCCTTTCAGATTAGGTCAACAACTTGATGGAGAGACATCTTGGGATGTCTTCATAGATTCCCCTACAGTTTATTTGTATGTAATAGCAGTCAGACACCACATGAATGTGTCAAGAACCTGTTGTAACAAAGCTTGGTGAGAGAAAAAAAGACAAAGACATAAATGCAGATATTTCAAGAGTTATTTCTCTTTAAATATTAAGTAAAGGGTGGTCTGTGAAAATCTGCATTGTGAAAGCTGCAAAAAGGAAGATACAAGCGTATCGTACTTTACTTGGATTTAGTTTTACATATGCATATATATCCATATATATATATATATATATATATATATATATATATATATATATATATATATATATATATATATATATATATATATATATATATATATATATATATATATATATATATATATATATATATATATATATATATATATATTTAAAACTGTAACTGGAGTGTGTAACAAAAGAAAATCCCTCTGGAATTATTAAAGTATTTCTGATTCTGATTTGCACTAGATTTATGTTGCTAAATAAAATGATCTGTCAATGGAATAAGATTTTGCTTTGGAAATAAAAACACAAAAAGTCTTAATTATTTCATTTCAAGTGCATGTTGGTGATAAAATAAGCATTCTATTGTAAGTCCATTTCATTTACCAAAGAGAACATTTGTATACTTCAATACATTTTCCCTTATTTGCACACCAGTTTAAATTCAAAATGAAAATATTTAGCCTGTAGAAAATACCATAGCTCATGTCTTAAATGAGTATGTAGTATTTTAATAATGAAAAGGGAAACCGGACAAAACAAGGGGGAAGCAAGGAAATAAAGATAGGAAGACAGAAAAAATTGAGAGAAATGACTGGACTGAGAAGGAAAGTAGTTTAGGGAAAAGAAGGAAACAAATAAAGAGGAAAGATTAAAAAAAAACAACAACAACAGAATTTTTTAAGGCTGTAATTGTCAGATATAAGCTTAACTCATATTTTACTGATATTTTACTTTTGTTCTGAACGATCTAACAAATACAAATCCATACCACCATTGACATTGTTGATTAAACATAAAAAAAAAAGACCTGCATACATTTGAAATTCAATTCAATTCAGTTTATTTATATAGAATCAATTCAAAACACATGTAATCTCATGGCACTTTACAGTTCACCAGATCATCCAATCAAATTAATCTAAATGTTTCTATCTAATGAAAAACCAGTTGATTGCATCGACTTATTGACTCGAAGTCAATCGCTCACACTAAGCATGCTTGTAGCGACAGTGGAGAGGGAAAAACTCCCATTTAACAGGAAGAAACCTCCAGCAGAACCAGGCTCAGTGTGAGCGGCCATCTGCTGAGGCCGACGGGGTTCAAGGAGACAGAAGCAGAGACACAAAAAGCAGCTGGAAAAGGCAGGCGATCCCCGAGCCAACTCCCATGTCAGAGGATGGAGAAAGCACATCCAGCCAGTCACAGTCAGAGAAACAGGACTACACTGAAAAACAGGCCGATCTCCAACTTCTATAAACAATGGTGTTAATGGCAGCAGCACAGCTGATTTCCAGGATGGTGTCACAGCCAAACAGGAACAAAGGCGGCAAAACTATTATGAGAAAAAGCGGAGAGAGCAGAATGTTAGAGATTAATCTAATAGATTAAGCAGAGTGGGAGAATAGAGAATGAATGAAGCAGAATGATGAAATGGGGGTCCCTATGCAGTCTAAGCCTATAGCAGCATAACTATAGAGATAGCTCATGATAACCTGAGCCACTCTAACTATAAGCTTTAACAAAAAGGAAAGTTTTAAGCCTAGCCTTAAAAGTAGACAGGGTGTCTGCCTCACGGACTAAAACTGGTAGTTGGTTCCACAGGAGAGGAGCCTGATAACTAAAACATGGACTTATAAAGAACAATGCTATAACTACATATTCTTACTTTTATTGGAAAAATTTTTAACATGCTGATGACTTAACCCTGCAGGAGTAGGAAAAAAACCTTTTCCATCTCCTCCTCATTATTTACCTTCTGAAATGTTTCTGTTTCTTCTCTCAAAGTGAAATGAAATCACTTTGGCCCCTAAATCAGAGTAGTTTAATGAATTATTATGACTTTCTCTCTATAAAACCCAACCATGGTTCATAGCAGCAAGAAAGTCCTTAACATTTAACTGGTATTTTCATATCTTCTGATAAAAGCTTCAAACAACGTGTAAATATTTCTCCAAACAGGATCCTCACCACTTGGTGGCGCTAATCCATCTTGGTCGCCAATCAAAAGAGGAAGAAATTTAGGAAGTTCTGTTGGATAAGCGCTCACCGAGGGTAAATACGACAGTTTTATTGTCTAAAAACGTTTAAAATAGAAAATGTTGCTAGTGCTAAGACCTGGAACCTAAAATGTAGAGGGGGCACTACTTATTTTAAGCAGTTGAGGGTTTGTTCAATTGTTATCTTATAGAATAAAAAGGTTTTTACAACCCGAGGACAGAAATAAACAGACGTTTACCTCTGACTGGACATTCAGATTCCCCTTTTTTTAAACTTACACTTTTTTTTTAAACTCCCTAATTCAGCCTCTTTAATCAGTTGTAGTTTAAAAACAGAAACAGCAGAGAGAGCATAACGTTACAGATTGAACTAACAGATTCTGCAGAGTGGGAGAATAAAGATAGAATGGAGCAGAATGATGAAATGGGGGTCCCTATGTCCTCCAGCAGTCTAAGCCCATAGCAGCATAACTATAGAGATAGCTCAGGATAGTAGTTTAAAAACTAAAGCAGGTATATTTTTAACACCTGGATTATAGTATTTCATAAAAATGGTAGAAACGTTAACATTTGCTTTTGTATTTGTGAAACCTTAATTTGATTTGTAAAATTTTATTAGAAGCCTTTGTTTTTTTCTTTTGCATATGGACCACATTAGAACAGGTCCAGTTCAAAAACTTCCAACGCATTGAACCTTCAAACTTCTGGCTGCACTAAAAGATGAATGGTTTAAACCCATTTTAGTATAGACCTTTATTTATGAGAGTTTAATAAAGGATTATTTCAGAGCCTTTTTTTTTGCATCTGGGCAGCAGGCTTGGTCCAGTTAAAAAACAATAGTTTAATAATATGTTTTAGCACATTTCAACAATATACAACATATAATATTTTTAACACGGATTGTATTATTCCAACCTAGTAGAGTAAACTTACAAACGATATTGGAAGATTAAAAAAGTTACATAATTTTATGGCTGAATTTCTTCCTGGACTAGATCTGATATGTCGAACTTTGTAGTCTGGCTTTCTTTTCATCTTTGGCCCACAATTTCCCCATTATGGGACAAAAAAGGGATTTTCTATTCTATTTGCTAAACCAGAACTAATACCCTGTGTAGGAGACATAAAAACACACACACATTGAAAATATAATAATAAAAGGACAAACATTTAAAGAACACTGAGAAGAGAAAAAAAATACATATTTATGTCAGAAAATGGTAAAAAAAAAAAAGGTAACAAAATGATGGGACAAACTATACAATAAGCATGACTTAAAATATAAAATACACAATTTCCTGTCAGCCAATTGTCAAAAAAAAACAAGCCACTAGTGCTGTAAAAACTTAAAATAAATAAATAAATAAAAATGTGGCCTTTCTCCTCTGAGCTCTTCATGCAGGACATTGAAACCGGCAGCCTAAGGGCACCTACTCAAACTTTGGTAAAAGAGCATATGATAATTAATAAGATAAGATAAGATAATCCTTTATTTGTCCCACAGTGGGGAAATTGCAGCGTTGCATCACAGTGAACAGTACAGTAGGAAAAAAGAAAGAATACAAAATATTAAAAATATATGAAAAATATACATTAAGTATATACAGACAAGTCCATCACACTTGATGTGAACAGTTAAATGGCTAAGGCTAAGGTTACAAACACTGGTATAGAGTGACAACAGTAAAGTTCTGTGCAAATGATTGATTGTATAAATTATTGCAGAGTTAAATGAATATGAGTGAAGTAAACAATAGATGTGCAATAATAACAGCTAAAGTGACGGTGGACATATGGTTGATATGGAGCTAGCATTGTTGGTTGTACAGTCTGACAGCAGCAGGAAGAAAGGATCTGCGGAATCTCTCCTTTATACAGCGAGGGTGTATCAGTCTTTCACTGAAGCTGCTCTCCAGAGCAGAGAGAGTGTCCTTCAAGGAGTGGTCCTCATGGTCCAGCATAGACATGAGTTTGGACAGGGCCCTCCTGTCCCCCACCTGCTGTACAGAGTCCAGAGGACAGCCCAGGACTGTCCTCTGATGCAACCTGATGGACTGACAGATATAGAAACTCAGCAAGGATCTTGGAGCAGTTTCAGTTATTTTGGAGTAAACAGCCCTACAGGTGCTGGTCATAAAATTAGAATATCATGAAAAAGTAGATTGATTTCAGTAATTCCATTTAAAAAGTGAAACTTGTATATTATATTCATACATTACATACAAACTCATATATTTCAGATGTTTATTTTGTTTAATTTTGATGATTACAAATGACAACAAATGAAAATCTCAAATTCATCATATCAGAAAATTAGAATATTGTGAAAAGGTTCAAAATTGATGGCCCCTGGTGCCACACTCTAATCAGCTAATTAACTCAAACCACCTGCAAAAGCCTTTAAATGGTCTTTCAGTCTAGTTCTATAGGCTACACAATCATGGGGAAGACTGCTGACTTGACAGTTGTCCAAAAGACGACCATCGACACCTTGCACAAGGAGGGCAAGACACAAAAGGTCATCGCTAAAGAGGCTGGCTGTTCACAGAGCTCAGTGTCCAAGCACATTAATAGAGAGGCGAAGGGAAGGAAAAGATGTGGTCGAAAAAAGTGTACAAGCAAGAGAGATAACTGCACCCTGGAGAGGATTGTGAAACAAAACCCATTCAAAAATGTGGGGGAGATTCACAAAGAGTGGACTGCAGCTGGAGTGAGTGCTTCAAGAACCACCACACACAGACGTATGAAAGACATGGGTTTCTGCTGTCGCATTCCTTGTGTCAAGCCACTCTTGAACCACAGACAGCGTCAGAAGCGTCTAAAGAGAAACAGGACTGGACTGCTGATGAGTGGTCCAAAGTCATGTTCTCTGATGAAAGTAAATTTTGCATTTCCTTTGGAAATCAAGGTCCCAGAGTCTGGAGGAAAAGAAGAGAGGCACTTCATCCACGTTGCTTGAAGTCCAGTGTAAAGTTTCCACAGTCAGTGATGGTTTGGGGTGCCATGTCATCTGCTGGTGTTGGTCCATTGTGTTTTCTGAGGTCCAGGGTCAACGCAGCCACATACCAGGAAGTTTTAGAGCACTTCATGCTTCCTGCAGCTGACCAACTTTTTGGAGATGCAGATTTCATTTTCCAACAGGACTTGGCACCTGCACACAGTGCCAAAGCTACCAGTACCTGGTTAAAGGACCATGGTATCCCTGTTCTTAATTGGCCAGCAAACTCTCCTGACCTTAACCCCATAGAAAATCTATGGGGTATTTTGAAGAAGAAGATGCAATACACCAGACCCAACAATTCAGAAGAGCTAAAAGCCACTATTAGAGCAACCTGGGCTATCATAACACCTGAGCAGTGCCACAGACTGATCGACTCCATGCCACGCCGCATTGCTGCAGTAATACAGGCCAAAGGAGGCCCAACTAAATACTGAGTGCTGTACATGCTCATACTTTTCATGTTCATACTTTTCAGTTGGCCAACATTTCTATAAATCCTTTGTTTTTATTGGTCTTCAGTAATATTCTAATTTTCTGATATGATGAATTTGAGATTTTCATTTGTTGTCATTTGTAATCATCAAAATTAAACAAAATAAACATCTGAAATATATGTGTTTGTATGTAATGTATGAATATAATATACAAGTTTCACTTTTTAAATGGAATTACTGAAATCAATCTACTTTTTCATGATATTCTAATTTTATGACCAGCACCTGTAGTTTTCTGAAGGCGGTTTCTGTCCTGAAGGCTGATTGTGTGAAATAGCTGGTAATTGAGAAAGTGACAATGTTCTCAATGAAGGGACTTTCAAAGGGACTTCATTGTCTAAGGCAGTATGCAGGGAACTAGTAAACCCATCAACAAAATCATCAATTTGTGAAGGGGAACAAATTAAATGGTTGCCCTCAGCTCCATTGTTCAGTGAAACACTGGACATAAAAATTGGAACAAATTGTTTAAAGTTTATAACATTTATGCATCATCTGATTAAATTTACAGGTCACTAAAAAGTGGTCAGATAGGACAGAGTTGTGAGGAAATGCTGTCATTTTGTCACATTTAATGTTATATGTCAGCACAAGGTCTAAAGTATGAAGATGAGAATGTGTGGGACTATTCACATTTTGAAACAAACCAATATCGTCTAAGATAGCATTAAAGGCTGCATTAAAGGTATTGCCTCTAATGTCGATAAGAAATGCTCCGCTATATTAACTTGGTAATTATTTAATTAGATCCAGATAGGAACTCTGAAAATGTATCTAAACATTCACAATAAGGAAGTGGTGAAAAAGGTTTTGTCACTTTACAATTTTAAATGGTGGAAACTAAGGGTTAAATTTAAAAAAGAATTGTACATACTAACTGGCTTGGACTAATCAGGAAGTCAGACTGAAAGATTGTTGCTACTCCTCCTCCTCGCCCAGAATTTCTGGGTACGTGAAAATGTAAATAATTAGCGAGAGTTGCCTCATTTATGCTTACATAATCCTCTTTCTACAGCCAAGTTTCAGTAAGAGAACATACATTAGTTTGATCATTACAAATCAACTCATTAAAGGAACAGTGTGTCACAAATTTGGGTTTTTATTTACTATATTTTTTGCCTCTCTGCATGAAATTTTCAGTCAACATATCTATTTCATAATCTACTATACTAACATAGAGTAACGTTGTCTAAATTGACTTCAAATGCAGAAATTTTATCCAAAATGTAAATTTAACTGTAATTTTATCATGATACTTTTCATGTTCTTCTTCTTAGATATACAAGCAATATGGAAAAAGAAAAAGTCTCCTGTTCCATCTGTTTGGATCTACTGAAGAATCCAGTGACTATTCCCTGTGGACACAGCTACTGTATGAACTGCATTAAAGCCTCATGGGATACTAATAGTCAAAGGAGGATCTACAAATGCCCTCAGTGCAGGAAGATCTTCATACGAAAGCCTGTGCTGAAAAAAAATATCATGTTAGCAGAGTTAGTGGAGGATCTGAATAAGAGAAATCCCCAAGCTGCTGCAGCTGATCACTGCTATGCTGGACCTGAAGATGTGGCCTGTGATGTCTGCACTGGGAGGAAAAGGAAAGCTGTTAAGTCCTGTTTATACTGTCCTGCTTCCTACTGTGAGAATCACCTCCAACCTCATTATGATGCTCCACCATTGAAGAAGCACAAGCTGGTCAACCCCTCCAAGAATCTCCAGGAGAACTTCTGCTCTCACCATGATGAGGTGATGAAGATCTTCTGTCGTACTGATCAGCAGTGTATCTGTTATCTCTGCACTATGGATGAACATAAAGGCCATGAAACAGTCCCAGCTGCAGCAGAAAGGACTGAGAAGCAGAAGGAGCTCCAGGTGAGACAACAACAAATCCAGCAGAGAATCCAGGACCAGGAGAAAGATGTGAAGATGCTTCAACAGGAGGTGGAGGCCATCAATGGCTCTGCTGATAAAGCAGTGGAGGACAGTGAGAAGATCTACAATGAGCTGATCCGTCTCCTGCAGAAAAGAAGCTCTGATGTGAAGCAGCAGATCAGATCCCAGCAGGAAACTGAAGTGAGTCGAGTCAAAGAGCTTCAGGAGAAGCTGGAGCAGGAGATCACTGAGCTGAAGAGGAAAGATGCTGAGCTGGAGAAGCTCTCAATCACAGAGGATCACACCCAGTTTCTCCAGAACTACCCCTCACTGTCAGCACTCAGTGAGTCTACACACTCATCCAGCATCCATTTATGGCCAATTAAAGATGTTTCACAGCTGAGTGATGAACTACAGGACATGCTGAGAAATGCATGGACAGGTATCTCACTGTCAGCCACTGAAGTGGATGTTTTACTCTCGAAATCAGAACCAAAAACCAGGATGGAATTATTAACCTATTCAAAAAAAATCAAACTGGATCCAAACACAGCAAACAGGTATATCTTGCTATCTAAGAAGAACAGAAAAGTAACATTAATGGAGCAGCTACAGTTGTATCCTGATCATCCAGACAGATTTACTCGATGGTGGGAAATACTGAGCAGAAACAGTCTGACTGGACGTTGTTACTGGGAGGTGGAGTGGATCGGGGAAGCAGTTTATGTTGCAGTTGCATACAAGAACATCAGCAGAAAAGGAACGTCCCAGGATTGTGTTTTTGGATTCAACAACAACTCGTGGGCTTTACAATGTGAGGAAGGATCCTACACCTTTTGGCACAACAGTGTTAAAACTCCAGTATCAGGTCCAGTTTCCTCCAGAATAGGAGTGTATCTGGATGACAGAGCAGGTATTCTGTCTTTCTACAGCATCTCTGGAACCATGACTCTCCTCCATAGAGTCCAGACCACATTCACTCAGCCTCTATATGCTGGAGTTTGGCTTTCTGATGACGGAGACTCTGCTGAGTTTGTTAAACTAAAATAGATTGATCCGAAGTCCAGTTGTTTAAAATGTGGACTGGGTTTCCACTTGCTTTATTCTCCTTCGTTGCTGCAAAGAGATCATTGTTGTTCCAAACTGTTCAGAGATCTGCTGTGTACTTCATCTTTTTTATTGTGTTAAAGTAGTTAAATTTAAAGCATTATAGGAGGGATGTTTATGTCTATGAAGCTATTGTGAATTTTTTTTTTTTTGAATGCCTGTTCATGTTTATGGAAATTCTCTAAGGTTCTGCTTCTTTAGTGGTTATTGAGCTTTGGCCCATTACTAATCAATGATCAGTCATAATAGCATTCAAACTGGCTTACTGAATGAAGCCTTTCTCCACTTTAGTTAGATAGTCTGATCTTTTACGAAACAATAACGGTTTATTAGTCAGTGCATGGATTCTTCAGTATAGAAGGGTGTCTCTGTTTTTGTTTAAATTTAGGACTGGAAAAACACAAAACTGGCATTCAGTGGTTCACTAAGTTGTTAAAATTAGTTTTAGGGGTTTTAAACGTTTTCAGATATATTTTTGTTCACCATTCTGTCCAAAAGGTTTCAGCCAACTTTGTTTGAGCCGTTCAGCCCCTAGAGACCAAAGCTGAGTTCATCCAGGATGACTGCTTTCATTGAGATATTCACTACTGGATTCACACTGAGAGAATGAAAGGTTTTATCCAGTGGAGATCCTCGCCCAGTTTAAGGATGATCAGACCAGTCGGAGATCTGCTGTTTAGATTCACGTTTTGTTTCATTAAATAAACCATTTGAAGTCTGAAACCATGATTACTTATTGGTTAATAAGATTTCACGTGAGTCTTCAATTCCAAAAAACTACTTGACTTTAAGTAAGGTTTGATTTATAATTTGATTTAGGAACTAAACTCTTTGAAGTTTCTTTATCAAATGTTTTGCTGTTAAAATGAAGATGTTTAATCTATGTTAAATTTACCTGGTTTTTCTGAAAATGTTTTGCGTTATCTATAGTTTGTCGTAAGAAGAGCTACATTCTGTCCTTTTAGCATTCTTTTTTTTTCTTCTACTATATATGTCTTAAGATTTGAAGTCAGAAGATTTATAATCTAGATCTGCACCAATGTCGGCTAAGACAGATTGTTAGGATAAATAACCCGAACCAGAATGAGGCGGAGCTCTGGATTTCTGGAAGGCATCTCTCTTTTTTTGTTCCTCAAGTTATTTATAAATGTGTTTGCATTTATAAATAAGGGCTTTTTCCTTTCTAAAACCAAGTGCCTTCAAATCCTTTATGACAGAATAAATTTGCAAAGACAAATATTGATGTTTCTCTGTTTTACTGAGTGGTGTTCTCCCTTTAATAAATCCACAAAACCACATTAATTTTTACATTTAGTGATCCATTGTTTGTGGAACAAGGGTGAAAGGATCTAACTTCCTTTTAATCATATTTATGGAGCTGAACCTGCAAATAATGTGATTGTGAGCAATAATGTAACAGCTTAAGGTAATGAAGATGACCCTGATAATTAATCAGGATACTTTTTTATGTTTGGGGATAAGATTCCATCCATCCATCCTTTTCCTTCCGCTTATCCGCTTGCTTATCCACGGTGGCAGCTTAGACTGCTGCCTCTGCGACCCGGCCCTGGAAAAGTTAATATGTTAATGTACTTTTTCAGATAGAATCAGATCAAAATACTAAACTGTTAGATTTAGTTGATTTTATCTTTTAAACATGAAAAGGAAGAAATATTATGCTAAAAAAAAAACATAGGGAACACTAGATCTGAATGGAGGAAATATTCTCATTAAATGCTTTGTACATATTGGAATGTGCTGACAACAAATCGCACAAAAATCAATGGAAATCCAATTTCTTAACCAACAGAGGCCTGAATTTGGAGTCACACAAAAGTGGAAAAACACACTACAGGCATATCAAACTTTGATGTAATGTCCTTACAATAGGTCACATGAGGCTCAGTATTTTGTGTGGCCTCCACATGTGTATCACCTCCCTACAATGCCTGGACATACTCCTGATGAGGTGACTGATGTTCTCCTGAGGGATCTCCTCCCAGACCTGGACTAAATCCTCCACAAAATCCTGCACAGTCTGTGGTGTAATGTAATGTTGGTGAATGGATGTCCCAGATAGGCTCAATCGTATTCAGGTCTATAAAACGGATGGGTCAGTCCACAGCTTCATTGCCTTCATCTTGCAGGAACTGCTGACTCACTCCAGCCATATGAAGCCTAGCATTGTCCTGCATTAGGATGAATCCAGGGCAAGCTTCAACAGCATATGGTCTCATAAGGGGTCTGAGGACCTCATCTCGGTACCTAATGGTAACTATGTTACCTCTGATAAGCACATGGAGGGCTGTGCGACCCTCCAAAGAAATGCCACCCCCACACCATTACTGACCCACTGCCAAACTGGTCATGCTGAAAGATGTTGCAGGCAGCGGATCTCTCACTACAGTTTCTCCAGACTCTGTCATGTGCTCAGTGAGAACCTGCTGCATCTATGAAGAACACAGTGGCGAATTTACCGAACCTGGTATTCTCTGGCAAATACCAAATGTCGTGCATAGGATGACCATTTTTACAGCTCCATAAAGGAGGACATTATGTGGCATATCAATAAAATGCATCATGTTTTTTTTTCTCCCACACTGTTTATATTTGATCGCTGCTGCACTTTATGGATTGGAAATGTTCATTTACTGTCTGGAAAGCTGTACTAAACAAAATTTTGTTTTGTATATACTCCGTGTCTACAAAATGGCAATAAAAGTTGTCTTAGTCTAAATTAATAAGGTGCACATAAGAATCAATTTATAGAACAATTTTGAGGGGTTTAAAAGGATACTTGTGAGGCTGAGTAGGCAATATTAATGAAAAGACAAAAATAATTTGTATTTATTCAATACATTGTGGTGTGCAAAAAGTGACCACTGAAATTAATCATTTAACATGCAGGATGCCACATTTTTTTATTTTTTTATTTACCAGGTAACATAATAAAAAGAGCCAAACTTTATATGTGTACAACAAAACAGATTGTAAAACCTGTTAGAAATATTCTATTTACACTCTTACTCCGTTTGTGTTTCATGGGTTGTGTACTAATGAACTATCATGATGTATAATGTGTGATTCATCACTTATTAACTCTTGCTAAAGATCGTTCCAGATAAAGGTCATGCAACGGACGGGTTGTGAAAGAAGCTTGGACATCCTCTATCACATGTTGGGTTGTAAAAGAGGCCTGAACATCCTCTATTACATATTTCTTCTACACGTGTTATTGGAACGAATTTAATTGTAAAACAACCACATGCTTTGTTTTAACATATGTGTTGAGGTTTAAAGTAAGAGCATTTTGTTTCCCTTTCCCTTAGTAAAACCTCAGCTTGTGTAATTAGGGACATCCCCTGACTTCAATAAATAGCGAGGAGAAAGCTGAAGACCGGCAGAGTGGGGTGGAGACCTGTACTGTGCAGTCCCTTCCTACTCTCCTCGCGAGTAAAACTAAACTAATTGTCTCTGTGCCTTTTTCTTTCCCTGTATGTATGTATGATGTTTTAGGTGCTTAGACCTGACAAAAACATTCTACTGCTTAAAAGTACAACTTTTTTAAAGTGCTTCAGTATAGTACACATTGCACAGCTACGCAGAAGTTATTTTGACATCCAGGGACGACAAAACTAAATGAAATAAGTCCTCTTTGAAGAGTTACCTGCCACACGTTTATTACTTTTATGTAAATCAGTACTTGCATGCCGTTCATTTGCAATTTTCCCTTGACTGCTTACGTCCACATCACATTGACAGAAGCCATGGAATGCGATCTGACCACCATGCTCTTTTTTCCGTTCAGAGTTAAACGAGGCCTTGTGTCTTGGCATGATGCTTGTGACGATCTTGGCACTGGTGCTGGCTTAATCTCCAACTCTACACACCTGCTCACTCCACCCTGCCTGCGATTATCACTAGTTGGTCCCACCTCTATATATAGCTCATTTGGATCTGTTCCCAGTGCCAGATTGTCTCAAACCAACTATTGAGTACCTTCCAGCATTTTTATATTTTGCCTGCCTACCTGTTACCGGACCTGTTTTTGCCTTTTTTCACCGAGCCTGATCCCTTATCTGATCCTGTCTGCCTGCCCTGAATCCAAACCAGATCTGCCTCTGAACCCTTGCATCAGTTCTGCCTTGGATTGACTGCGTGTGAGCCTGAACCCCCACTCAGTCCATGAGTAACCGAGTCTGCCTAACTCCTCTGCTTCTCTCAACCTGCCAGTTAACGGACCCTCGATCGGACCTGGACCTCTCTTCTGGATTGCCCCTCTGTACCTTTTCTTGGACCCCATCTCTGGAATCTATAAACAAACTGTCACTGGAACTCATCGGCCTCAGTCCTCAGCTAACCATCCGCCGCTCAACGGCCACCACTTCCACAAGCCCCTTCATCGTACGGACTCCTGTCCCGGACCCAAAACGGTGCCAGTCGCCCACTCTGAGACCCAGTTACAGGTTAGTGATCCCGCCTCACTCCCTCTCTAGTTCTCCTATTGCTGATCACTAACCTGTTGTCTCCGCCACAGGGGATTTCCTGACTGAGAGCCGCCTGCATGCTCCCTGTGCCACTCATTATTAATAAAATCTGTTGCATTCCACTGACCTGTCTGAGCTGTTTCCTGGGTCCAATATCCTGTACGTTACATGCTAACTTTCTTTCAATGTACCTTGACGGCACTCTGATCCTTGTTTACTTTTTTAACCAATTACAAGCAGCTATTTGTTGGACACGGCACCGCTCTTAGCTAATTATCTCTTAGACCAGAAAGTCAATAATATTTTTTTACATTCTATGATTGAAAATTGTGTTGCAGCCCAGTAAACAAAAATCAGACACCTTTATTTCCCTGTCCTTTCCTGTAGTTTTTGGCCAAGCATCTCAAGATTCTGGCTCCCAAGTACATAAAAAAGGACATGCTTTCTCTATTTCACTATTAACTTTATTTCATGAGACTGCAATGTAGATTTGCATAAAAAATAATATATTTTGGTGAGG